GGCTCAGTGAGCTGAACAACTTTTGAATAGGTAGAAAGATAGATTTAATTAGTAAAATTATGTGTAAATAGACAAAACCCAAAAACTTGGTTTTTGGAACATTTCTCAGCAGCCAGATTTTATTGAGAAATAAAACACAGCTGCCTAGAAGGAGAAAAGTGAGCTGGACAACTTTACGTAAGAGGTCAAGTAAGGTTTACTTAGTAGAATATTGAGAAATAATCAAATATTGTTTTGTAGTTTTGGTATAAGTGATCTATAGAAAGAGTTGCTTATTATATTCTGATTTTTATGTTATAAATTTTATAATAAATTATAAAAAAATACAAATTTTAAAAAGCTATTCTGCAAGATTTTATTAAGACAATTGTTTTTGTGTTTTAAGTAAAAAATAATTCTGATCCTATTCTAAATTGATTTATACAAAAAAATAAGGTTTAAAAAATTTGTTGATTTCCTCCTTTTCCGTAGTACCAAACCTATATTATTATTAATATACTAAATATCATTTTACTTTATATATATATTTATAAAACTTTGTTATTTCTTTTTATAACTTTTTAATATTTATTAAATCTTGTAACTATTAATTAATAATTTTATTAAAATTTATTAATTATAAACTATCTTCTTAATATTAAGCTTATATAATTATAATTTATATATTAGTGTTATATTATTTGTATTTTATTATATTATTATATATTAGTTATTATATTATTAAATATTATTTATATCAGTCTTTTTAGATTTATATATTATTAACTATATTATACATTTTAATATCTTCTTATAATTTATATATTTATATAACTATCTGTTAACGTTATTTAACATTTATTAATGATTATATTAATTATCTTATATCATCTTTATTTTAGTTTAAAATTTAAAAATTAGTATAATATTATTATATTATCTTATAATTTTAGGCTGATAGTTTGTTGATTTTATTAATTATTATAATTTCTTCTATACAATATTTGAATATTTGTTTTCTGACTTTTTATCTAATTATCTTCCTTATATTGACCTTTTATATTAAAAAATTTTGATCAATATTAATAGTATTATTAAAAATCTATAATATTTTTTTATTCTGATCTTTCTTAAATAAACTTCTTGTTTTCCAATTTCAACAAATTTATATAGCCACAAGAATTTATTTGATATTTGTACTACTTGATACTAGTTTATATTTTTTTATATAAACTGTTATACAAATATCCTGTAACTTGTCAGTTATGCTAATATGACTGCCATTATAGATATTTTAATCTAATTATTAAAACGGTTATTATAATATGAATATTATATAGATAATTATTCAGATTTTTAATATTAATAGGATTTAAACATTCAACCTATTACTTAGAAGATTGATAACTTATCTATTTTACTAAATTACTACACTCAAATAGTTATTTTTAGTTACTATAATTTGAGTTTTTTTAAATTTTAAATTTATTTTTCATTTTCTTTATTGCACCTCATTAATATATTGCAAAGCATTTAATAGACACTATAAGCAATCAACTCATATTTGCTAAACATTATGTAATAAATTATTTAATCATCATATTACCTAAAAATTACTTTACTATTATCTTTGATAATCAGTAATTATCATTTAATTAACAATGAAAAATCTCACAAAAAACCAAAATTTTCAAATATTAAATAAATATACAAATTAATTTGTATTGAGTTATCAATTTTAACATCTAAAATTCCTTTTTTATATTATTAGTTATTGCAACTATGACATTACTTATGTTTTCATTTTTTGTATTCTCTGTAATTACATATCCAAATGCCTGTTGATCTATAAGCATGATGAATTAAATAATGCATGATGAATTTATGTGTAAAAAATAACCAAAATTTAATAAATAAGTCATGCAGACCAATCAAACTTAAGATTTTGCAAAACAATCCCTATTAAACACCATATAATCCATACACTATGTGATTTCATTACTCTGTTCCTGGTATGACTATTATATTTGCTTTTGTTCCTAGTTTCTAGCATAACTTATATTTGGTGACAATTATAGTATTCTATTATATAGTAGAACTAATTACAGCATAATATCCAATTGATATAATTATATAACAGAACCAAAATTAAGAAAATCGACCCATGGGTCAGTATACATCAGAACATTTCAGTATCACTTTATATAACTGGTTTCCAATGAATTCTGATCTAGGCTTTTGGTCTATATGCTTAATTTTGGTTCTGTATTTATATAGCAAAAAATAAGTCACATGCCACTGTATTGTTATAAAAGATATTAGAATATTTACTATGACATACTGATGCTAAAATTTATGCATGTGTGACCTGTTGTATGACAATCAGATTGTTTGTATAAACTATAAAACAAGTAAATTTTGTGACTATTTCTTACTAAAAAAAATTTAATCACATAAATAAACATGTCTACTTCTACAAATACTTTTTCTATTATTGAACAAATAAAAGACTTAACCACCACTGACGATTTGATCAAATTTTTGGACAAACAAAACTTGGATCTTGACAATGATGATTTTTAAGTTCTTTATAAGCAAAAAGTTAAGAGTTCAACTTTACTTCAGTCAAGTCAAGAGGAACTTGAAAGATGGAAAATGCCAGGTGGGCCAGCAAAAAACATCATATGCCTAATTAATAAAATCAAGAGTAAAGGACTGGGTAAGTAGTACCATGACTGCATTTGAATATTCCAAACCTATACTGCTTTGTCCACAATAATTTTATTTATTAACTTGTGCCTCATATTTATTATACAGATACTGGTAAGCACTATAAATATTTTAGTTTTCTCGTTTTATTATATTGTAATATTATTTACAAAACTTACAATTTTGCTTTTAGTCCCCTTATACTTTTAGTATCTTGTGTCAAAAGTTCATTATGTTAGTTCTGGTGGCTGGAAGAATATTCTTCAACTGTATAAACATTTAAATATAATCTTTAATATTGAAGGCCCATTGGAAAATTATGTGTTTATTATTGGGGATAAAGAAATAGATTTTGGTTGATCAAAAAAGAAAATTATTGACTTCCTTAAACAACAAAAATGTTCAATTGATAATCCAGTCAAGATATTTGATAAAAAAAAAAGGTATGTTATTCAGTTCACTAGCAGAATAAAAATAATCTGATTTAATGCAATCTTATCTTGATGCTTGTTACTCTTAGGAAAAGTGAATGAACTGTCAAGTAAGCTGATTATGAATAGTATTATTCTATTAGTGATTTTTTGTGATATTTAATTATTTCTTGTACATTCTGTTGAAGATCTGTCATATCATACTTATCATACTAGAAGTGAAGAAGATGAAGAAATTGTACAGAAAGCTTTTAATAGAACTTTTCAAGATCCAAGTAACCTTTTGAAAAGGTTCATACAATTTATCAACAAGTGTCTAGATAATTACAAAATAATAAAAGATTATTATATGCCATACACAACCTTAGTTCAAGCCAGTTGCATAGAAAAGTCCAAATTATTGATAAATGTTGCAGAAAAGATAATAACAGTATATTGTTGTTTGCAGGCCTCCAAATCAAGTAGTTATCCATCCAGATCAGATATTGCCAACATACTAGTAAGAGATTTTATAAATGAACAAGAAGTTATAGCTACCTACCTTGCATACATATGCACATGTTTTCAAAAGATGCAGGAATTTGATAAAGATTTTAAGGAATGGATAAATTGGCATATCAATAAAAATTCACAAGAGAAATTTTAGAGAGATGTTGAGAACAGAGTGGGAGATATCAAGTTCCATCTTATGAAATGTTCTAGAGATAGTAAGATGACTGAATTGGTCAAGAAATATTTAGTTAAAAAAAAATATATAGAATGAAAAAGTTCAGTTAAATACCTGTTTGCATTCGATGAAGCTTATACACTGATTGGTAAGAAGGTTGAAAGTAAGAACATTTGAAAAAATCACTGTTCTATTATATTCAACATGCTTTAATTCTCTTACCTGAAAGAGCAGAAATTTTTGCAGTCTTTATAGACATATATTCAAATATTTCAAACTTTTCACCTGCTTCTTACCTCAATCTATCTAAAAGAATTGCACAGCATAGTTCCAAATTATTTGCAATATTTTATTTGCTAGACACTGTGGACATAAATGTCAATTTTGTTAATTTTAAGGAAGCCACAACATTAAAGGAGTCAGAAGACCCACAACATTTCTTTCAGTATTGAAGACCTTTGTGGGGTGCACTATTAATGCCTTCTAGTGATACTAAAGGGATGAAACCAGAACATATTATCAAATTGGCTATGGACAAGCTTATTGGTGGACAATTTTTTAATGTTTAGAGAAAAAACCCAATTAAAATGTTGGATACTTTGGCTATTCTAGGACCCTATTTATGTGTCGAAATAGTGCCACAATCTGAATATGCACCTGATTTAATAGCAAACAACATGTGCCTTTGTATTAAAGTCTTAGAGAATTGTAAATATATCATTACATCGATGCCTAGCAAACCTGTGCTAGCAAAAGCTAGTGCTCAAATAATGAATGATCTGCATATCAGCCTTACAGAACTTATTAATAAGCTATCCGAAGCTTTAAAAAAAGGCTTAGTAGAGGCTGGTTACCATGGAGAGCTCACAGCCATGTTGTTACTTCTCAATGTCTGGGATTGTTGCATCAAAAAAAAGATCTTAGATGACATGAATATTAGTAAAACTTATTTTTAATTTGTAACTCTTGAATAATTTTTAAAATCATTACTCATGAATAATGTTTATGAGAAAATAAAAAATCGTCTTGAAGAGACAGTAAAGTTTACAGGAAGAAAATTCAGTGAAGCTTATATTAAGTTTACACACTTTATCAATATTACATATACTCTGAAGAGAAAAGATCTTGGAGATGCTCTGATTCATGGTATTGCATATTCATGTAAATGAAATCAGCAGGAAGTAGATATTATAATATCTCTATATATAGGCACTCTTGATGAAAAGTTTAACGAAAATCAAATTTTATACATATTAATACAAATTAAAAATCATGCTACTAATAACAAAGGTTTGAATATTTAAAGTCTACAACTACTTGTCTGTTACCAGCTTATATAGGCATTGAGGATCTACCATATATGCCATTTTTGTCATTGTATTTGCAATTAGATGCAAAATCAGAGTTAGTTGACATTTTGTCAAAGTTTACTGAAACACCTAATATGATTTCATGCAAATATAAAATTACAGAAGTATTAGAAGATTATAAAATAGATACAAAAGAAACAAAAAAGAATTTGTTAAGAAGATTAGACTTGAAAATAAAGAAGATTCAAGTGCTTCATGTGCTGAAATCAAAGCATTTCGAGAGCATTTTCAGATCTCACTTGGATTATTTGGACTATCTTCAAACATTTACAATTGCCTGGTGCAGTCTATACCAGTTTCTATAGCCTCATCATCAGCCAAAGTTAGCAATCTCACAAATAGCCTTAAACATTTATTGTCTGCTTGGGTTGAACCTGTAATAGGAGAAGGTCAAGAAACCATGAAAATAGTTAAACATCTGACTCCAAAAATATACAAGATGGAGGAGTAGTAAGATTATTGATTATAAAATTTAATGAATATGTGATAGCATGTACTGTATGTTGGCTTGATAAAGGGTGTGAATCAAACTAAACAAATGCTGTAGTTTATTATATTATTTTTTAGCATGTTATTATTATTGCTGTATAGTCAATTATTAATAAAGCTGACCCTGGTAGTTGATTTCGCATACAGAATCATGTTTACTTTTGTGTGTGTATATTTTGTGAATTTATTTTATTGTATTGCTATTGATGTATAACATGCATATGATTGAGAATTTTCTTGGCAAAAGTGTGCTTCTTTGAAACAAAAATATTTCTTGGTAAAAGTGAATTTATTAAATAAGTTTTGAACAAATATATATCTTATAAATATTATTATCAAACATTCATTCTGAATTTGATTTGTTAAAAATCTGTATTGCTAAGCTTGAGGCTGAAAATGTGAAGCTTAAGCAGATTATAAAAGAAAAATTTGATCTTGATACTAAGAATTTTAAGCATAAAGTTGAGAATACTAAACTTGAAGTAGTGAAATTAAGACATGATATTGAGAAAATCTAATTGCAAATTCAAGTTAATATTAATAAACAGGATACATCTCTTATTGAAGATATTTTATAATTTTCAGTTTGTTTAGAATTATTAATAATTCTTGAGATCTAATGAAACATTAGAAAGACATTTTTTAATTCACTATCTATCAAAGAATTAGAACAGAAACAATTATAAAACTATTTTTTTAATATTATTAATATTAAACTTAAATTATTAGAAGATGATAAAGAAGAAAATAATCAATTCTTGATCATTACTTCTTATAAAATGAATTCTGATATATTTTTTAAAGATAAAAAGATCAATTTTCTGGAATAGATATATAAAAAATAAATTAGAAATAAAATAAGAAAAAAAAAATAGAAAAAGAAGTTTCAATAAAAAATAGTTATTTAGGATTTAACAGACAATAAAGAATCTGTTTTCTTTATAAAGAAAGATGATCAAGATTCAGATCTATTATATAATATAAAAACTATTTCCTTAGAGAATAATTAAGATTCAAATTTATTTTGTAATATAAAAATTAATAATTTAGGAAACAATCAAACTAAAGATGATGATATGATAAAAATCAAATTATAGAATAGAAGAATTATATTTATCTACTAAAGAATAAAGTCTTATTGATTCTATAATAGATAATACTAGCTTTATTAAAATTGGTATATTAGAAAATAAAGGTTTAGTTAAATATCTTTTTTATTTATTTAAAATAGCAATCAAATTTCACTAATAGGAAATCTTAAACTAGTATTATTATTCTTTTATATTTAAAAACAAGATTTATAGCATTATATCTAATGGCAATATTAAAGACAAAATAATAAAAATAATGATTTATAATGAAATAAAACTGTTTTAGTTAATATTACTTTAGATAATTTATATAAAAAGACTCTTAGAATTAGAAAATTTCTTATATTATATACCAAAAAAATTAACTTTTTAAGATTGATTAATTATATTCAAGTTAGATATTTTTATATAAACTTTTTATATATAACTTATAAGCAAATTTTATTGATTAAAAATGATATTACATAGTATTATTTAAGTCAAAATTTAATTAAATAAAAATTTATTTATATTTTAGATTAGCTACAGATGTGTTTTAATTTTATATATAAATAGAATATAGTTATAGTTAAGGTTATATATCAAAAAGACTAATTTTATAAGACTAATCAATTATATTTAAGTTAGATATTTTTATATAAACTTTTTATATATGATATATAAGCAAATTTTATTGATTAAAAATAATATTATATAATAAAATATAAGTTAGAATTTAATTAGATTAAAATTTGCTTATATTTTAAAATTAGTTTTAAGATACATTTTAATCTTATATTTAAATAAGTTATATATCAAAAGAGTTAATTTTTTAAAAATAGAGATAATATTAGAAATAGGGTTTTGAGTTTAAAGTTTAGAAATAAAGTCTAAGATCTAGAGATAAGGTTAGAGTCTAGAAATAGAAATGGAATTAGAATTAGGATTATATACCAAAAGGGTTAACTTTTAGAGCTGACCAATTAAATTGTAAATAAATATTTTTATATAAACTTCTTCTATATAACATATAAGCAAATTTTATTAGTTAACAATAAGGTTATATAGCAATATATAAGTTGAAATTTAATTGGTTAGAATTTTGTTTACATTTTAGGGTTAGTCTTAAGATATATTTTATTTTTATATTTAAATGAATTATATATTAAAAGGACTAAGTTTTAGAGCTAGTCAATTAAATTACAAATAAATATTTCTATATAAACTTCTTATATGTAATATATAAACAAATTTTATTGATCAAAAATGATGTTATATAGTAAAATATAAGTTAAAATTTAATTAGATAAAAATTTGTTTATATTTTAAAGTTAGTTTTAAGATGTATTTTAATCTTATATATAAATAGGTTATATATCAAAAAAGCAGATTTTTTAGAGCTAGTTAATCATATTTAAGTTAATTATTTTTATATAAACTTCTTATATATAATATATAAACAAATTATATTGATTAAAAATGATGTTATATAGTAATTTGAGTCACAAGGTCTATTATTGAAGTGTTGTAAATTAAGAGTAGAAGGCACATAGATTATTTTCATATAGTAATTTATAATATATATATGGTATATTAAAATTTTCATCTAAAATTAATATATGTTATTAATAAAACTTTTTTATTTTTTAATAAATCAAAAAAAAAGATTTGTTAATATCACCCCTTACTTTTGTTAATGCTACTCTTTTTATATAAAATATTTAATCTCTAACCTTTCAGACCCTAATTATTAATTAAGATTAGATTATGTAAAAGGTGGCATTAACAAAAATAGGAGGTAACATTAACAAGTCTTTAAAAAATTTTTATAATATTATAAATAAAATTATTTATCTATTATAATAAAATTTTGAAGTATTGTATTATTTTAAAAAAAAATACTTGTATATATAATAAAGTTTATTTAGGTAAGTTAAATTTTTTTTAGATAGTATAAAAAATACAAAATTTGATTGGTTAATTTATGTAAACCTATAAGTTAATTTTATTATATAATTTTATATCCTAGTCTTTAAAATTTCATATCTCAATAAATTTTTAATCAATGTTAATAATTTTACTATTATTAGAATCAGAAAAGCCTATTCTACAACTTTTATTTAATTATTAAAATTAGTTTACTTAATATAATTTTTTATAAAATTAAATATAAAAAAAATTACCATTAGGTTTATATATAATTTTAAAGTACTGCCCCCTACTCTTAAACTAAATTATTTAATTCCTGAATTATTAAAACTTTAAGATTCGAATCATAACAATTTAAAGTTATTCAAATCTCGAGTTGACATGTCCAGTCACTACCCTGGAAAAGGCAAAACTCCTGAAAAAAGTCTATAAAACTTCAGAAAAGACTGAGCATGTTGATAAATATTTTGTGTATGGCTTTTAAGCACAGCATGTGGCTTATATAAAGAAATGTATAAAAACAGTTAAAATAGGGATAGCTTTTCTGTTTGTATTTGTGTATTTATTAAAGAAAAATAGCTTCAGGCTTTTTTATTTTTAACTAAATCGACTCAGCCTTGAAAATATATAACTTAAAATAAACTTAATACTTTAATTTAAATATTGATGGGATTAATTAACTTTAATAGAGTAGGTAAGTATAATATACAGTATTTAAGATTCAATCGTTGATTTTAAATCGATTTTAGAATTCAGTTATTGATTGTGGTTTTTAGAATCCTTAGCTATGCAATATAGCTGTGCAAGACCGAGAATTAAGAAGCCTGTCACAAGGATAAATATTACTATTATAAATATTTGTC